TGTTGTAATGGAACAATGACTACATATCAAAACTATCACAGACACATTACGCATTCATGAGCCGAGTAAGCGGTCTTGGTGTGCGATTTATTCTCTTTTTTAAGACGATCCTTCAATGAGACGGACCTCGTAAGGTCACGTGACGCCGTGACGTACGCACACAAATGTTGCGTACAAAATTATTAATTTTATTTTTATATATGTTTTAATATGTACGTCATGATGCATAGCAAATACGCGCACTGTTTATACGCGGCAATCGTGAAAGTAGACGCCCGTTCCGAAGCGCACGACCCGACCGGCCGGTGTCAAAGGTCACGGCCCCGTGAGTGGAGAATTAAATGTTTATTTTCCGCGCGGTCGCCCGTTTTTTTCCCGCCCCGCTCATTGTCGCGTCGCTCCGACTTCTCGCCTGTCCTTGGGTTTTGTTCTACACACGTTTTCGGGTTACCGCTGCGTCGGCGCCGGCTCGGGGTCAGAGTTGACGGGGCGGCCCGGGCCGCGGAGGCAGTGCGGCGGCCCGTCCATGTGGAGCTGCAGCGGGAGGCGCCCGGAGCCCGGACTCACTCTGCACTTGAGCGCTCGCACCGACCGCTTCGCACCGCAGCATAGGGAGCCGCGACTCGCCCCGCTTCGACATGAAAGGGTGAGTAATGCGGCCGCGGTGGCGCTCGGCGGAAGGACGATTCTTTAATTCCCGTTTTTCCGGGCGGGCGGGCGGAGGACTCCGTGCGGCGGCGCTGGAGGACGGAATCTGCTGAAGGCAGCAGCCTCTTGCGTATGCTCCGCGGTGCGGCGCTCCGTTCGGCCCTGTGGCTCTACGCCGTGCTGGATGGCGGGGTCCTGGCGGCCGGCCCTTCGCCCACCGGCCGCCTAACATGTCCGGCTCGCTCCCCTTTGTGTGCCGACGCTTCTACGGGGGTCCCGCAGGCCGGTTGGTCGCGATAGCGAATACGCGTGGCCGGGTCGCCATGTGCCGCTCGAGCACCGTAACGTCGCTCTGTCTGGGGGGACACTGCCGGGGGAAAAGTGCGTGTGCGGCCGCTGAGTGTTCCCAGAACCGAGAGTCCGGCCCAGGAGAACACGTGGAGTAAGAGGGCGCCATCGCACAGCGGCTTGGCTGCTGAAAAAACAATTAACCTGGTAACCTTAAAATCCTAAATTTCTAAAGGCGGTAAACTGCGAAAGGAGGTTATTTCCGCAGAGCGGTAAACTGTTCCAGAGCTGGATGACCTGTGATTTTCAGCTGTCCATTTTGGGGGAAGGGGGGCGTTTACTGTAGTCATTTGCCCTAAAAATAATCTCTCTGCTCCCGCGCCGTGGCCCCGCCGTCCGTGCGCTAAGGACAGCTGTCATTTCGCACCATCTGCAGCTCCACGAATGCTGCGTCCAAAACGGGTTTGCTGCTGGTAACGTGATATACAGGTCAGTGTGATAATCCAGCATGTCCTACTCTGACAACCGCCCCCCCCCCAACGTGGTGCCGGTCGGTCCTCAAGCTGCCTTCTTTCATGCTGGTTGAGCGGTACAGTTCTGTTCCAGCAGCCGGATCGAGCTGGGCGACGTGACGCCTCACAACATCAAGCAGCTCAAGCGGCTCAACCAGGTCATCTTCCCTGTCAGCTACAACGACAAGTTCTACAAGGATGTGCTGGAGGTGGGCGAGCTTGCCAAGCTCGGTGAGTCCCATCCATCCCCTGGCCCCCCTCTGGGCAAAATGCATCGTCCCATTCCGCCAAGATGTCCTGGTTGACCTCTGACATCTGTGTAACAGCCTACTTCAATGACATTGCGGTGGGAGCAGTGTGTTGTCGTGTGGACCATTCTCAGAACCAGAAGCGGCTCTACATCATGACCCTGGGCTGTCTCGCCCCCTACCGCCGCCTGGGTATAGGTAGGTGTTCGGGGGGAGGACGGATGACTTCAGGGTTACCGTTCTCCCTTTGAAGTCGTGGGATTGGATGGGGTCGTGCTTCAGGTATTACTGTCCTCCTTGTGAAGCTGTGTGATTGGATTGGGTCATGCTTACTGCCAGTGCCTGAGGAGCATTGCTTTTCTGCAGGAACGAAGATGCTGAACCATGTACTGAACATCTGCGAGAAGGATGGCACCTTCGACAATATCTATCTGTAAGAAGCTTCTGGAGGCTTGGACCTCAAAGCTGCTCTGCAGATGTTACCTGACATTACCCCCAGTGGGATGTACATTTTTTAAAACAAAGTCACCGTCAACAGATTGGTATCTGATTGGCTGATAGAGGAACTGCAGGCACATCTGTGGATTGCAATGTGTTAATTATGGGGCCTGAGCAGAGCTTCAGAGTTTGGGGCTGCCGTCAGCTCAGTGGTGGACTCTGCTTTCTTAATCTTCTTAACCATACAGTAACAAAGTCAGAATGTTGATAGTTTGAGCCCTTGAAGCTCTACACCCTAACTCGAGTGTCAGATTGTTCCCTGTACATTAAAATAATCTGAGAGCTTGATAAATTTACGAAAAGCTTCTAACACCTTTGGGATGTCCCTTCCATGTCCAGTCCCCTCAGTAACAAGGCTGACCTAGTCTTACACTCTCTCCACAGTCACGTCCAGATCAGCAACGAGTCAGCGATTGACTTCTACCGGAAGTTTGGCTTTGAGATTATCGAGACGAAAAAGAACTACTACAAGAGAATAGAGCCTGCTGATGCTCATGTCCTGCAGAAGAACCTGACTGGCCAGCCAATGCCCTCTGGAGGGGACCTGCAGAAGGCTAACTGAGGTGTGGCGTGGCGCCACGCTCCATGCCGCCGACACGGCACTGCTGCGCCCACCCCAAAAGGAACAGTGACCGGTGCCCATCGGGCCGGACGCGACAGCTTGGATGATCAATTACCACTTTCCAATGGACATGCAACAGAAAAAATACTCAGAAAAATGGTTACATTCTATTTTGCAGAAAAGGAGTCCTTATAAATGTTGGGGTTACATTTAATTTCTTTTTTTTTCATGTAGAGATTTGAGAATCCAGAAGTGCTCCAGAGGGAAGGATTAAAGGCTGCTTCTCCTCTCATGCGGTGAAGGTTTTCCAGTTTCGGTTTTTGCGAAGCGCATTTCTTTAGTTATCAAAGGGGGTCACGTTGCAGTTAGGGAATCAAAACGAAGGCCCTTGCTTCTGTCTTGTGACCTCAGAGCCGTACTTGGCATGCCGAGCCCCCCATTCCCCCCTCCCCCGCCCATGGCAATCAAGGGACAGTCAGACCCAGTCCTTGTCCTTATCACACGGGTTTCTGCTCCGGTGCAGTGTCTGGCTGCTGGCCGCTTTTGTGGACTGCGCCTCTTGTGTGCAGATGGGGATGTTGCTGGTGGAGGGTTTGTGTTCAGTTGAGCAGAGTATCCGTGTCCCTATGGCTGGGCGCCCTGCACTTTTACTTTCTGAATGTTTTTCTTGATTTGTTATTTAATTGCCCCTGAAATTTGGACCTTGAGTTGTTTTTGAGGGTTTTCCTGGGTGTAATTTTAGTTCTGACAGGGTTAGGTTTTTAGAAATGTGAAGTGTAGCAGGACACCAGCGCCCTCTGCTGCCCTGTGACGTGTGCAGACGAGACTGGGACCGTCACTGACCGGTGACCCACATCTGCAGTCGCTGATTGGATAGCTGCACAAACGCCTGGCAATGCTCATGTTGATGGACCCGTGCAGGCTCTGAAGATTCATGGTACGCTTGATTAACATTGGTCGGCTGAGTCCCAGTCAAAAATTGGCCACAATTTAAGGTCAGTGAAATAGGCAGATTTGGTTTGATTCTGCAGTTCTGGGCGTGCTTGGCCCATTATGGCAAGTTGCACAGTCAGCCCCGGTTCTCAGCGCCCATTCAACTGTAGGTGTGTGAACCCCATTGCATCTGATTGGAGAACCAGTTTGGCTCAAGCCAAGCCCAAGAGAACCCACACCGTTAGCACATCTGAACTGGGTTCTCACCCTTCCTGCTGTAAGGAAAGCATGGGATACATTATCTTTCTTTTCTTTGAAGAATTTTATCTTTTTCTGGAGCTCTATATTAAGACTTTTTAACCTCTAAATAAAAGAGTACTATTTGCATTACATCACATGATCTTGTGTTTTTTTTCTTTTGGGTAATGGGTTGTATATGAAGATGCTCACTGAGTGATTGGCAGTAGTGTTTTAGTGTCTAGAAGGTGACAGGCCTGGAACTCTGCTGCTGATCTTTGCGCTCATCCATGTTTCAGCCACGTACACAGTATACGGTCAATACTGGTCTGCATGCTACTCCGACTGCAACTCCCAACTGCATACAGTGACCACAGCTTAGAAGCTGCTGGATCCTGTGATTTAAATAGTCTTGGAATTTCTGTTAAGTGTGTGCTCTCTGGAGTGTCTGCACACATCTACTATGAGCCTTGCAGAGTTTTAATGTGTTCAGTAGGCTTGTCCTTCATTACACAGCTTCAACAAGGCTGTCCTGCAGTGCTATGTAAGGGCTGATTTACAGGTGTTGCACAGTTTGTACAGCCAATGAATGCTTCAGAAGAGAACAGCTTTCAGGCACAGAGCCTGACTTGACATTAATTTAAATTTGATACGTTTTAATATATAAAATAACCTTGCACAGTTCGGTTGGTATGACGGCATGTTTCCATTTAATATATATTCTGTCCATACTTAGTTCCCTTAAATGGTTTTGTTAGACTGGCTCTGCCCTAGCGATTTACTTTAGTATGTTCCCCTTTAAAAATAACATGGATGTTATTTCTTAAAACACTTCCTCTAAATCTCAACCCATCCTTCTTATCCCATCCTTCTCGTTGAAAGGTCTGCCCCACACTGCGTACATTGGTGGATGACTGTGGCAATACAGGAAAAGCTGTTACTCTATTGGTGAACTAGGACGTCGATCATATACGTCATGTTTAAATATTCGTAGTTCGTGCGAGGCCACAGCTTGCTGTTTCATTGGATGTTAACGACTGTTCCCCGATCAGGATTGGTCATTTCCCTGTTGTCCCGCCTTCTTTTTCTCATCGCAGGAATCGGTGTAGGTTGAGCAGAGTGTTGATTTCCAAGGAAAACCAAAGTTTTGACAGGGACGTGGTCGTGAAAATGGGGAGTCTGCAGGTTAGTAGCCCCTTTGCACCCTGTTACTCGGCTGTGCGCGCAGTTCCGCCCTGTGCTTCGTCTCCATGCACGGTCTGTTCGGCCAGTCCCTTCTTTTGTGTATTTGTTCGCCGACCTGGGAGCCGCTGCGGCGGAGGGTTAGGGTTAGGGATGCAGCGCATCTGGGAGGCGGACATTTCGCGGCTGTGGTCATCGGGTTGACGGGGGGCTGCTGCCCTGCCATCTCCGCGGGGCCGTCTGTGTCTCCAGGCACCCCGCACTGTAACATATATGAGCATAAATGACCGCGTCGTTCTCCACGGCAGTCGCTTTAATACCTGCATGAAAGGGTCCCGGACTCTAAGGCTGCAGAGAGCAAGCGGTTGCCTGGCTTGCTGTCAGTCACAGGGTGTGTGATCAGAGCCGTTACCACGCAGTGCCTCAGCGGTCAGGATCTGCCTCTGTATGTTTATGGTCAAGATCAGGAAAATTGGCCATTGTGTGTGGTCATGGTCATAGTTGAGCGAGTTAAGCTCTGGTCAGCTAAATCTAATCTATGTGGTGTGCATGTCAAATTAGCATTGCTTTAAAACGCTTAACTTATTGGGTGCTGTATTAACATGTGAGCTGGAGGAGGCAGTATTCAGACACCTGGGCAGGGCAGTGTGAGGTCAAGCTCAGATTGGCAGGACTAGGGAGGGTCTCAAGCTGATAAAAAAGAATTTACACAGCTTCATATTTAATGCTGACACTGACCATAGCCACACAGAGCCTGAGGCAGATGGAGATATGAGATATGAAGATGTAATCAGCGATTTCTCCTGTCCCCATGTCCCCCTGTCCCCTGCTGTGTTTCCGTAGCTGTGTTTAGGTCCAGATCTTGTGGGATCTATCCAATCCTCATTCTGAGTGGGCGTAGTGGCCATGACGTAAGCATTTTCATCCCCTCTGGAGTGACCTGTGGATGAACGGTGAGTCTGGGCATGGAGGACAGCTGTCTGTATCATGTGTATGATTGGGGGGATGAAATGGGGTCAGCGCACAGAGGTCTGACACGTGCCGGGCTCCCCAATCTCTCCTTTGGCTCCATATTCCCCCACGACACAAGTAAAGGCTTCATGCTTCACAGAATGTGAATGCTTTCTCTGGTAGCCTTGTGAGTGCTTGTAAATGATGTGTGTCATGCAGACGGACAGTGTGTATCAGGATGCCAGAGATGACAGAGAATGCGAGCCGTCCTCACAAGCCCCAGAGGTGAGTGGTTTCTCTCCTGTAACCAAGGGCTGAATAGCTGTGTCAGCACCGGTGTAGCGAAGATGGGGCCCAGCTTCTCTAAAACATTCTGCCTAGTTTGTGCTCTAGTGGAGTGAACTGGGAGGACAGTGCTGATGTAACGACCCATGTGTTAGTGAAGGAGCTATGCTGTCATAACAGTGCTGAGAAGACATGTTGTGTTTCTCTGCTTACAGGAAGAAAAACAAGGAAACACACAATGCTGGTAAGTATCACACTAAACGGTGTTAGTTATGAGAAGAGGGAGGACCCTGGGAGTATGTGAGCCGGTGGGCAAGGAGCCCTGGGGGTGTGTGAGCCGATGGGGGAGGAGCCCTGCGGGTGTGTGAGCCGATGGGGGAGAAGCCCTGGAGGTGTGAGAGATGGCAGGGGAGGAACTGTGGGGATTTTGTTGTATAGGGGTGGCTGATGATGTATTTTCTCTTTGGCCTGCAGTGGAGAGACATCGGAAGAAAAAGATCAACGCTGGAATTAACCGCATTGGCGAGCTCCTCCCCTGCTCCCAAGCCCTGAAACAGGCAAGGCAGTGCCTCCATCTCGCAGTCAGTGGAGGTTTAATGGTTAGGGAAGCGCACACGTAATTGAAAAATTGATTTAAATCCCTGACCAGCAAGGCACCATTGAGGTACCCTGAGCAAGGTACTGCCCCCAAGCACTGCTCCCCAGGCGCTGAATTAGCTGCCTCCTGCTATGTCACAACGTTACATATGGGTTAAATGCAGAGAACACATTTCGTTGTTGTGCACTGTGTGCTGTGGTGTGTCAACAATGACCACTGATCACTAAATTTGAAATTAATTCTAAAATTCTCTTCTAATACCGGTACCCAAGGGTGAGCCTACTATGGGGCTGGTACCCAGTCTGATTCCCTTGTGTCTGCCCCTGACCCGAACGCTGGTACCCAAAGGTACCTTAATGCAGGGCTGGTACCCAGGGTGACTTGTATATGTCTGAATTCTGCTGCAGAGTAAGAACATGATTCTGGACCAGGCCTATCGCTACATCACAGAACTGAAGCAGCAGAACGACACACTTCTACTCAATGGTGGAGACAAGGTGCAAGGTATGTCCACATCTCAGTGCGTCTGGGTCTTCTGGAAAGCTCTCCATGTCGGAAGGCAGCGCGGATATGTCACCCGGGGCCCCCTAGCCCACGCCTGGGCTGCTTTTTTAGTCTGTAGGCTTCATAAAATCTGCATGATTTCTGAAGCGGCTCTTCTGTTGGTGGTTTAATCCCGTGTGGTAGACACAGTCGTAGTGTTGTGCTGTGAATGCTAAGTTCACATTACATGATATTAGCTTCAATTTTCCGGCTCGCAGACAGTTTTTGGAGCCAACAAAAGTCCCCATCGTGGGAACAGTACTTGATTGCTGTTTCTGAACTGTTCGAATATGCGACCCAACAGAGTCACCGATGCATCGTTGATATATGTCAGATATCTAGCAGGATAAATTTCAGAACCTGCTGGTGACTGCAAATCCTGTGGCATGCAAAGTGTTCTAGCCTGGCTGTGACTAGCAGTGAATGCAGTGATGAGCTACAGCCAATCAGAGCGCAAGACATGGGTGAGGGGAAACCTGGGAGAGGTCTTTAAAAAGTTGTAAAAAGTTCAGTTTGTTTATTAACTGTTCTTAGTCTTCTAGGAAGAGGTATTCAGTAAATGTTTACGGTTACGGTTACTGTTATTTGTGGTTTGAGATATACGTCCAATCAAAAGTGTTTGCACACACTAAGATTCTCTACATTTGCATGTTACTTAGACTCAATTGACTCGATATTCTTTGCTAATAAATAAATTTACAGTATCTTCATCATTTGAGTGCCGTTATAAGAAAATGTCATATCTTTGATTCATCAGAGTAACCTCCTCTAGCAGTTAACTGCAGAGCAAATCCAAGGCATTCTTTCTCCATGGACATTAAATCCTATTCTCTAAGCTCCTTCCAACGCTCCTGGATCATTGTCCACAGGTGTGATGCACTAGTTGGCTGCTTCGCCTTTACCTTTCTGTCCAGGGGTGTGTTTCTCTAACAACGACGGAAGTTAGCATTAACGATGCATCGTACTATGTAGTTCATACTAACCAACATCCGAAGTACGACTGTTTCCCAAAACCGCGATACCACAGTAGTTCCAACCACGTTAGTTAGTTGGGACTTCCGTAGTTCGAACTACAATGGTTCCAGCGCTGATTGATCAGACTCGCTGCGAGTCGTGCGCAACACGAACTACTTTCACAGCTGGTCATGTACAAATACACGGTCGTGTAATAGCATATAAATATATAATAATCTCACACATACACTCACTTAAAGGATTATTAGGAACACCTGTTCAATTTCTCATTAATGCAATTATCTTATCAACCAATCACATGGCAGTTGCTTCAATGCATTTAGGGGTGTGGTCCTGGTCAGGACAATCTCCTGAACTCCAAACTGAATGTCAGAATGGGAAAGAAAGGTGATTTAAGCAATTTTGAGCGTGGCATGGTTGTTGGTGCCAGACGGGCCAGTCAGAGTATTTCACAATCTGCTCAGTTACTGGGATTTTCACGCACAACCATTTCTAGGGTTTACAAAGAATGGTGTGCAAAGGGAAACACATCCAGTATGCGGCAGTCCTGTGGGCGAAAATGCCTTGTTGATGCTAGAGGTCAGAGGAGAATGGGCCGACTGATTCAAGCTGATAGAAGAGCAACTTTGACTGAAATAACCACTCGTTACAACCGAGGTATGCAGCAAAGCATTTGTGAAGCCACAACACGCACAACCTTGAGGCGGATGGGCTACAACAGCAGAAGACGTAGCAAGCAGCAGAAGTACCACTCATCTCCACTACAAATAGGAAAAAGAGGCTACAATTTGCACGAGCTCACCAAAATTGGACAGTTGAAGACTGGAAAAATGTTGCCTGGTCTGATGAGTCTCAATTTCTGTTGAGACATTCAAATGGTAGAGTCAGAATTTGGTGTAAACAGAATGAGAACATGGATCCATCATGCCTTGTTATCAGTGTGCAGGCTGGTGTGGGGGATGTTTTCTTGGCACACTTTAGGCCCCTTAGTGCCAATTGGGCATCGTTTAAATGCCACAGCCTACCTGAGCATTGTTTCTGACCATGTCCATCCCTTTATGACCACCATGTACCCATCCTCTGATGGCTACTTCCAGCAGGATAATGCACCATGTCACAAAGCTCGAATCATTTCTAATTGGTTTCTTGAACATGACAATGAGTTCACTGTACTACAATGGCCCCCACAGTCACCAGATCTCAACCCAATAGAGCATCTTTGGGATGTGGTGGAACGGGAGCTTCGTGCCCTGGATGTGCATCCCACAAATCTCCATCAACTGCAAGATGCTATCCTATCAATATGGGCCAACATTTCTAAAGAATGCTTTCAGCACCTTGTTGAATCAATGCCACGTAGAATTAAGGCAGTTCTGAAGGCGAAAGGGGGTCAAACACCGGATTAGTATGGTGTTCCTAATAATCATTTAGGCGAGTGTATATATATATATAATATATATGTCATAAATTTATTGTGTCAGTCACATAACACCAATAATATGAAAAATGGCAATCACGCCAAAATAATGTGACGCTTCTTGGAGTGGTAAACAGATAAACAGAAGAACTTATAGCTATAACACTGCATTTTGTGAAAGACGCTCCATCTGTAATTACGTTGATTGCAGTTCATTGTGTTTCAGTCACACTACGAACACTTCGAATTACACAACTTAACGACAGTGTTTGCGAATGGTCATTTGAATGATGGTTTCGGGAAACACCTGCATCGTTTAACGATGCATCGTACTACGCAAGTCCGCAGTATCGTTACCTCCGTAGTTCGAACTATGGTTTCCGGAAACACCTGCGTCGTACTTCCATAGTTCGAACCACGAAAGTTGCTAACATACTGTAGTTAGCAACTATGGTTTTGGAAAACGCACCCCAGTTCATCCCAAACTAGCTCCATTGGGCTCAGGTCAGGTGACTGTGGTGGCAAGGCCATGAGGTTCCTTTCTTTTTCTTTCCTTTTCCAAATAGCCGTGACACACTTTGAAGGCATGTTTGTTATTGTCCTGTTGCATGAATAATGTCTGACCGCTGAGTCTGTTGCCTGATGGAATGGCATGTCGCTGCAGGATGCTATGGTAGCCTTTGTGATTCAAAATCCCAGTCACTCTACGCAGATTTCAAGCTTTAGATCCAGCAAAGCATCCCCAAATCATCACACTGCCTCCTCCATGCTTAGCAGTGGTACGTTATGCACTGTGGCAGCATTCTCTTCTCAACACACATCACACCTCCTAGAAGAACTGCAGATTTCAAACTTCAATTTCTCAGTCCATAGCACTTCATACCAGTCTTCTACACACCAACTTCTGTGTTCTTTGGCCCATATAAATAAACACTTTCCTCTTGTTAGGAACCCTCAAAAGTGGCTTTTTGGCTGAAACTCTTTAGTCTCACCTCCCTCAGTTTTCTGCGGACAGTTGAAGTTATGTGTTGGTGCCATGAGATTCATTCAGCTGCGCTTTGATTTGTGGTGCACTTAACCTTTTGTTACATGATCTGGTGACTCCTATGATCTTGTCTTGTGCATTAGAAGTGGATCGAGGCCTACCAGTCCTCTACCAGTCCTCTTCCTGTTCAGATTAGGTCCAGCTTGTTGGTGCCTCTTGATGGCATAAGCAGCTGTGCAGAAAAGATTTTTAATTTTCCCGGCAATCACTCTGTAACCATAGACTTCTCCTCCGACAATTACTTATCCTTTTTCTGTTGTTAGCTGACATCTGCCACCCATAATCAATGTTTCAGACACAAACAATATCTTGCTACTGACCTACAAAAAGCCACCTAATATAATATGGATCACCAGACAAGTGCTAGATATTTAATGAGCTATTGAAGCAGTTGATGAGACAGTTGACTAATGCATTTAAAGTTAATGGACAACCTAGAATTTGACGGATGCCATCACCACACAGCCAGTTAGTAGGATGACAGGCATGTACTGTTACATTCTCTTTCCATGTTATAAAGAAAACTTGTTTTATTTGACTTATATTTTCATTTGTAGTTGTTCACTTACCTTATGGGGACCAATTTCCTGGTCCCCATATGGGAAAACTCTATTTTATAAAAATCCGTGACTGCAGTGAAAACTAAAAATGCAAAGACTCTTGTATTTTGTTTGGTTTACTTATGGTTATGGTTTGGGCTGGGTAGGGGTTATGGTTGTCATAGTTAGCATTAGCATTTTTCCCATAGAAATGAAAGAGCGGTCCCCAAAAAGATATGATTACACGACTGTGTGTGTGTGTGCGTGCGTGCGTGTGTGTGTGTGTGTGTGTGTGTGTGTGTGTGTGTGAATATATGTATATCATACTAAAGATGTGTGACCCCCTGTTGCTGATCAGTCATGTAGTGTATAAACTATGACAGTACAATGATCTGACGACTCAGATAGTGTGAACTTGGCATTAACCGCAGGTTTTGGTTACTCTGCATCTTTCTGAGACGGGAGCCACATTTACGCAGCACCAGGGGCGGATTAACTTCTTTGGGATCCTCTGGGTCCCTAGGCTGTAGCCTGGTATAGGCTATGTATTAATTAGCCCTGCACAACAAGGTATCTGCCCCATGCTTTAAGCCTGTCTGTCCATCTGTCTTTCCACTGCAGCAGAGGAGATCCGGAGGCTTCGGCGCCAGCTGGACGAGCTCCGCAAGGAAAGCGCCCACTACATGGAGCTGCTGAAGGCCAACGGCATCAACTTTCTGGATGACCCCACAGTACACTGGAAAGGCAGGCTGGGCCGCACCCGGCTCTCCAAGGTCACCCCAGCGCACTTGGTCCCCGAGGGCATAATTGTCTACTCCAACGGGAACGTACTTTGCCCCGCAGGGGAGGATCCGGCTGCCTCCAGCCAGAACGCAGGGAAACGGTCTGGTGACATCATAGCCAACCAGCCTGCATGCAGTGTGGCACCTGCATCCAGGACCAAATTCTGCTTACAGGACCCCCCGGCCTCTCCTGCGGCCCAGCTCGTGCCTGTTCCAGGTCTCATGGCTGTGGAGCAACACGCAAGTGACCCTCACGTCATCTCCAAGCTGCCCGGTGCAGTGTCTTACATCGCCGTCCCGGCAGTCTGCCCCCTGTCGGCAACTAGCTTGGCCACACCCCTGCCCTCAATCTCCACGGCAACGCATGGCCCTGCATCCCAGGTCACTCTCCCTCTGGGGCCTCTCGCAGTCCCCACCCTGCCCTCAGCTCTTGGTTCCACACCACAGTCTCAGGAGTCAGCCCTGAGGACTCTGGCCTTGGACTCTTCTGCTGGAGTTGCCCCGGAACAGGGCCCCCGATCACTCAGCACGGTTACCCTCCCCCAGAGTGTTGGGGACAGCCATGCGCTCAGGATTGGCAGCACCGGAAGCACGCAAACAACGTGGACAACGCTGCAGCTGGGCCCAAATAGTGTGCAGCCTTTCTGTCACGCCATAGGCAGCACTGCCTCTCCCACACAAACATGCAACAGTACCGCACATAGCCTGCAGGGGGCACTCATGTGTCCTACTGGCTCTGTTACCTCCATTCAGCCTGTGCTGGCACAAGCCCAGGTCCAGAGTCCCCCTCCTGTACTGGGCCCCCCTCAGGTCACAGTCCAGACCTCCATGCAGGTCCCGCTACCGCCCCCTGTTCACGTCCCGCTGCAGAGCACTGCACAGGCCCCACTCCAGGCCACACCCACAGTTCTGCCCCTGATGCAGACCATGCAGGTGTTGCAGATGCGGAGCAGCATAGCGCCTCCCACTCCCCAAACCTCCAGTAACACCAAAGTGGTCATCCTCCAGCCAGCCAATCCACCTGCACCACAGGCAGTGATCAGGGAAGGCTTAGCCAATCAATCATCTTGCCAGCACATTGTCATCATTCAGGCAAATAATCAGAACTCCCTACAGCAGAACCCCAGTGTGAATGGGGCCCCGGTCGCAGTTCCTCTAACACAGCAGATTGTTACGTCCAGCTGTCCGGCTTCCACTACTAATGTGCACACGGTCGGCGGAAAGCATCTGGTGCACATTCTGCCACGACCACTAGCTCCACCCACTTCTAGCCCAGCACCACCCATGCAGGCACCCCAGACCATAACAGTGAATGGGCAGGTCTTCGCTCTGCAGGCAGTGAAGCCACCGGCCGGGTCATCTGTGAAGACTGCCCTGCAGATTGTCCAGCCTACAACCAGCGAGGACCCAAACACCAACCTCACACTGCACACCCTGGGGGCACTCGCCGATCTCAACCAGAGTATTTCAAATGTGTCCAATCAGAGCCTACAACTCAATGTGACCCCGCCCTCCTATCCTCTGGCCCCGATTCCTTTTCCCGTCACCACAGCAGCAGTAAATTGTAGTCCTGCTTTAGCCACCTCTACCACTTCGGTTATCAGTCCAGTTGGGGGCCCTGTGAAGGTATTACTGAGGAAACCCGGGCCAACCCTAGCAGCGAAACCTAAGTCAAGACGCCCTGCCTCTAAGAAGGGTGTTTCAACCAAGAAAATGGCACCCAGACAGAGGGATGATTCTCTCCCTCATCCTGGAATGGGAGCAGGTCAGATTCTGCCTGCAATTGAAAAGCAAATCCAGTCGACAGAGCCTTCAACATCAACCGACATGCCAGAAAGGTGCTCCTCTGCCAGGTCTACAGAACCTGCCCTTCAGCAGTCTGAGGAACTTAACAATGCACAGTGTGTCACGTCCACAGTGGGTGGAACCTCTGGCTCTGGTGCCAGTTCCAGTGCTAGTAGATCCATAGTTTCCACTTCAGGTTCTCCGGAGTGTATCTTTGCCGTTAGCCATATGACTTTGACACTGAATGGACCTACAGTTACTAGTGAGAGTCCTGCTCAGAGCAAATCCATATCATCTACTGCAGGTTCTTCAGAATGTAGTAAATCTGTGGTCATCTTCACCATTAGTGGACCCACGGTGTCTCCAGTGAGTGAACCTGTAGTGTCCGGTGCGACTTTGACGGAATTCCCACCTGCTGTGAGCTGTGTCAGTTCCTCGATCAGTAGACCCATAGATTCTCCTGTGAGTTCCACAGTGAGTAAACTTCTAGTTACCAATGACGCTTCCACTATTGGTAACCACAAAGTGCCCAGTTCTAGCTTTACAGTTACTGGGTTGAGTTTGTTGACGGGCACATCGGTCAGTCATCCTTTAGACCTTCAGGATTCCCTGGCTAACGAACGCCCAGCACTTACTGCCTCTTCTTTGGCTACCCTTACAAGACCGTGTTCAGTATTCACTTCCTCACCTGCTCCAAACGTTCTTCCTCCACTCACTGAGTGCGCAAAGTCCACTCCTCCTCAGACTGTGATTTCCCCATTAGAACCCACAATGTTGTCTTTGGCATCGCCCCAGGGTAATACTGTTCCTACTGAGCCAAGCATGAAGACTGCTGGAAGAGATAGTGACCCCAGTGGACACAGGTTATCTGATGAGGGAACAGATAAAGGGGTTCCAGGAGGAGGAGATGAGCTGTCCAGGAAGGCTTCGGCTCCACCACAACATGTGTGTGAAATGGAGCAGGACACTCTTGGGCAGCCTCTGCTATCCAGCCGACAGACGGAGTCCCCTGTGTTAGCTGGGCCTGGTGGTGCTCGTGGGTTCTCTGTGGCGTCCATGCTTCCCCCTTGCCATGGAGTGAGCGCACCTGGAGTCTCCTTTGCCACCTTCACCTTTACCTCGGAACAAGCAGAGATCTTGGCTATGGCTGCCAGAGCTATCTTTGAACAAGACAGTCCCGGGAGGAGATCTGGAAGCTGTGGGATGGAGAGTCCCACACCTGGCCTTGCATCAGGTCTCTCCTCAGGTCCCACGTCAGACTGGGACCTTACAAAAGCTCAGCAGACCTCCCACTCCAAGGAGAGGCCAACAGGATCCCAGCCCAAGCTGCCAAAAGCAAGCGAAATTACAGCAGCTAGGCCTCTTTCTGAGGTCTCTGTTGAGTCTCTAGAAGCACCGGCTAGGGAGCTTCTGGCTGCTTCCTACCCACAGTCTTCCCAGGCCCATTCCCAGTCCTCCCACTCTCCCAGTGCCGGTAGCCTCAGTGTTAATAACTTGATAAGGCCTACTAGTTCCTGTCAGCCCTATCCCTGTTCACCAAGCTTGCCGCAGCAGGTATCAGCGCCATCACCTGTGGTCCCCTCTATGACCCAGCCCCCTGTTCTCCTCCCACCCTGCTCTGCCTCGGGACAATTATCTGAGTTGACTCCCTCGAAGACAGCCCTCATGAGGGCAGCGGGTGCCGAACGCCGCATGAAGGACTTGCCCAAACGCACCGCCCAGGATGACATGATGGTATCAGGCAGCAAGAGGCCAAAGCCCTGCTCTGCCAATGCCGTGACCCGAATAGACATGAAGGCTGTGTCTTCAGATCATGTGCAGGTGATGCCTGGGCACCCTCCTGCTAGCTTAGGAAGCTCATCTGCTCCCGGCAACCGAGCTCACTCCACAGATGGGATCAGCCCATTGTTCCCCGGGAATAGCTTCATGAACACGGTCCTAAGGCAAACCGATAGCCACTGCAGCTCCCAGGTGCTCCAGCAGGAGCATCTGCAGCCGAGTCGCAGTCAACATGGCAATACTGGCCACCACCAAACAGGAAACCCTTACCTGAAGCAACAGGAGCAGCAGCAGCTTCAAGGCCAAAGGCAACATCTGTACCAGCTGCAGCACCACTTGATCCAACCTGACCCCACACAGCTTCATAGCCTCCACCAGAGGGTACTGCAGCAAGATCAACACATACAAAAAAAGCGGGGAATGGTCCGAGGAGGTCAACAAGCACCAATCATTAGCCTTACACAGAAGCAGCATCATGTGGAGAAGAATGGAGTGCAGCATCAGCAACCACAGCAGCAACCACAGCAACAGCACCATCAACAACAACAGCAGCAACCACAGCAACAGCACCATCAGCAACAGCAGCAGCAACCACAGCAACAGCACCATCAGCAACAGCAGCAGCAACCACAGCAACAACACCATCAGCAACAGCAGCAGCAACCGCAGCAGCACCATCAGCAACAGCAGCAGCAACCGCAGCAGCAGCACCATCAGCAACAGCAGCAGCAACCGCAGCAGCAGCACCATCAGCAACAGCAGCAGCAACCGCAGCAGCAGCACCATCAGCAACAACAGCAACCTCAGCAGCAGCACCATCAGCAACAACAGCAGCAACCGCAGCAGCAGCACCATCAGCAATCACAGCATCATCAGCAGCAACAGCAACAACAGCATCATCAGCAACAGCAACCACAGCAACAGCATCATCAGCAGCAACCACAGCAACAGCATCATCAGCAACAACAGCAGCAACCACAACAACAGCATCATCAACAGCAACCACAGCAACAACATCATCAGCAACAGCAGCAGCTACCACAGCAACAACCGCATCATCAACAACAGCAACCACAGCCACAGGCTTCCCACTCGATGCACCAACACATCCAACAACATCTCCAGCAGCAGCAGCACTTTGGTAGCCGCCATCAAGAGAAGAGCCTCCTACACCCTCAGCAACAGTCACGGCAGGACCAGCAGGTCACTCAGAGCCACAGTGTCATGCAAAGGCTGATCAGCTCCAGGTCTCTGGAACAGCAGTTGACCCCACAAGCTGGCAGCACTGTGTCACGTTCCTCTGATATGACTTGTGCCCCGTCGCGGCAGGAGCGCCATCGCATCTCCAGCTACTCTGCAGAGGCTCTCATTGGGAAGTCTTCGTCCAGTGGTGAGCAGCGCCTGGGGCTTCCCCTGCAGGCCCCTCGCTCTGCCCAGGACCAGCCGGACATGCGCCCCTACCTGGATGTGTCACGAGGGAAAGGGACCCACAACCCACAGGGACGGCTTCCTCCAGAGCACCCGGGGCCTGGGGACCTGCAGCGTGTATCTGAATGTGCCCCCTTCAAAGCTCTGAGCGGGGGACAGCACACGCTGGCCGGCTTTGAAGCACAGGCTTCTAAGCCTGGCCCAACGGCACACCGATCTGTGCAAACGCAAGGCTTCAGGATGGGATCCAGCGTAGCGGGGGACCGGCAGCCTCGGGGGCCATACCCTGGCCAGCAGGGGGTGCCTGTGGGCACCGGGGTCCAGCGAGACCACGACAGCTGCCAGCAGAGCTTCATGCAGAGCCTCCTGGTGCCACAGGTAGAGCAGGTGGGCCACCAGAGGGCTCCACAGTGCTGCCCCCCTGTCAGCATGGACTATGGCTGTGTGTCGGGCACCCCAGGGGGGGACCTGCAGGCTAAGGCTGGCAGCCCCAGCGTGCCCCCCGTACAGAAGCCACCTGCCATGCGGCTCAGTGACACCAGCAAGGGGCACATTAATGCACAAATCGGAGGCAACATGCACAGTGGAGGGGTCAGGGCGGGCCTGCACCCCCCCACATCTCACAGCAGCGTCGAATCCAGTCTCCCCGCTGCCCCCCCCACAGTGGCCCGGCCACTGAATGCAGTCAGCCAGCGTTCCCGCCACCTGGGCCCAGACACCCAGAGTGGGAAGCTGCGACCCACAGAGCGGTCTCGACCCAGCACTCTGCGGCCCGGGAACCCGTTTGAGAGCGAGGGGCACCTGGCCCTGCCCACAGGGGGCGGCGTCCTGTTGGGCCGGCAGCAGCCAGGGGGTGACGCACGCAGGGGCAGTATTGTGCGCTTCATGGCTGACAGCGTGCAGGTGGGGAGCGATGGCTTGGTGTCCGACCAGCACCTGACCCAGAATTTCGGCTTCTCCTTCATCCCAGACAATGCCCCCGGCATCAATACAAACCCCACCTTCATGCCTCCGGTGAGCCAGTCCAGCACGGCCCGTACCCCGTCCATCCTGCCGGTGGAGCCACAAGCCCCACTTTCCTCCTTCTACCCCTCGTACTCCCCCGCGGCACACCCCAGCCTGCCCAGTGACATCCAGCTGCAATACTTCCCCAACCAAATGTTCAGCAGCCCCAACACAGAGAAGGCCCCTGGGCCGCCGCTCAACAACCGTTTCGGCTCCATCCTGTCACCACCCCGGCCAGTGGGCTTCGCACAGGCCAGCTTCCCCCTCCTCACCGACATGCCCCCCATGCCCATCACCAACTCCTCGGCCATCACCCCGCATCTGTCCAATTTCAACCTAACCTCTCTATTTCCTGAAATCGCTACAGCGATGCCAGCCGATGGCTCCACCATGCCCATGTCCCCGCTGCTGTCTCTCAGCAACACATCATCCTCGGACTCCGGGAAACAGCCCAACCGCCCCGCCCACAATATCAGCCACATCCTTGGGCATGATGGGACCTCTGCCATCTGATTAGATTGGTCACGTGGGTGGCACAGTGTTAAAAATCCACCCATGTTCTGTTCAGGGTGCTTTTCTTAATTTTACATTTTTTTATTTTTGACAATCCTCATTCCTGTGGACACTGCTGTTACCTGGCGTATCTGACAACCACCAGAGACTTGGAAAGACCTTCAAAAATGACATTGCATGACAGTGACACTGGCCATAGTGATCTATCATTTTCTTTATTATTATTCTTTTATTTGTTTTTTTAGATTTCACAGAGTGGTGGGGTGATTGGGCTCACTTTATACAAATGTTTACAGTTCTATCTCCTCAGAGAGGAGGCCTGTGACATTTTTCAGCAGCTGTAGCACAAACCGTGACTGTTTCTCACTAAATAACCAAACTGATATCAGGGTTGATTTTATAGCAATTTGGAGCTGTGTGTAAAATGTAAAATTTCTTATTTATAATAACTGTTAGTACATCATGTAGATACTTGTAAATATATAAAGTTGATTATTAAAGATTTTCTAATTTAAAAGGGACAATGCTTGTTTTTCAGGTGAATTTGTTACCTGCAGCAACATGAATGTGTTTCTCATATCGGCCTGTTTGATTTCGAAGGGTTCAGCATGGGTGCCTTCCTTATTCTGTGCCATTTTTGTCAGCGGGACAGATTTAAGATTAAGTTTTTGCGATGCGATCAAAATTAGTGAACATCAGGGGTCGTAAGAAAAAAGGCGTGGCTTGAAAATATCAAATTTAATTTAGCAAATTAGTTAACCCCTCCTGTGAACTTACGGCAATCCATGGCCTGTAGGAATACTGGCCAGGGACAGGGGTTACAAACACCTACTGTCGATCACTGACATCTTCGGTGTGTTGTTCTTCACATGTCCACACGGGGGCAGCATTGCATTGGGCCAGTATATTTATTTTTAATAAATGTCTCCACGCTCATTGTATGCATCCAGGGTCACCATGATCCTTTAGTGTATAAGTGTCTATGTTGCACTGCAAAACACGGTTTTGAAAGCGCTGTGTTCCTTTGCTCACCTGTTTCAGCATTTGACCTGGAGGGGCTTCCAGCCAGTAGTGCAGCGTTTCCAGAACTTGGGACTCTTTATTGCCAGTATGTGAACGGCCTCCCTGATCTGAATCCGAGTGGTGTTCTGTTATT